CAGTGCCGATGATACCCTTAGAGTCGCAGTGAAGGGGCCTACCCCCCAGGACCCAGGACTAGGCCCACTGCGGCCACAACTCCACTGCTCCCACCTCCGGGCCCGCAGGAAGGTCTGGATGGGGTCTGCTGAGCTGCTCACGCCGGAGCAGAAGCCATCGGCGTTAGCAACAGGTCCATCAATGTGCAGACAGTGCAGCCAGTCTAGGGTCACAGCATCAAGAGCCAGACTGACCAACCCAGAATCGGAGACCAGCCTCGACCACGGGGTCCCTCTGAGCAGAAGACACTCAAGCTCCGAGCATCCCAGCATGCTTTGCAAAGAGTAAATGAGTGAAGAGCAGACCTTCACAGGAAAACGTAACTCATTCCCGGCTGCCAAGGGCAACGTCACTTTCAGGGTTTTACCAGGAGCCAGTTCTTCAAGAGGGAAGCTGTAGGTTTTGGTGGCCATGTCTTCCGAGGTCAAAGAACTGTATGAAGGTACCACCTGTATACACAAAGTCCAACCACATTCGAGCACATAGCTGCTGGAGTTTTCCAGAACGCAGCTTAAGGTCAAGGACTCCTCTCGCAGTAGGCTGACCCACTTGGTCGTAAGATGAAAGCTGATTGGAGGCTTGCAGTCAAGATGCCCCTCCCTCCCATTCTGACTGGGCAGCAGCAGACAGCAGATGTTAAATACTTGGTTAAGTTTCTTGAGAGCCGTGTTCCTCACTTGAATACTACTTTTCAACAAGGATGCTCTGTGTAAAAAGATAAACAAGTGACTCATTGGAAAGATGTATGTATCAAGCGTGAGGAAGCCAACGTGGTATAAAACAAGTATAGCAAAACAGAAATGGTCACAGGCAGGAATGAATGAATGCAGAACTCAGCATCCATATTCCTGGGGATTTGTACTGGTCACATACACTATATGGACAAACGTACTGGGACACCAGCCTGTCCAGCATCTCACTCTGAATCAAACGGTATTAACATGAAGTTTGCTAATGCTTAGATGCCATAATAGCTTGGACTCTTCTGGTAAGGGTTTCCAATAGATGTTGGGACATTGCTGGTGGGATTCGCTGCCATTCAGGTTGGGTGTTGACGTTGGGTGATCAGCTCCCTCTCTGTCAGCTTATGTGTGCGCCACGTCGCAGCCGGACTTGCTTCCAGATGTTCCCACTTCACAATCACTTCACTTGTGGTTGACCTGAGCGGCTCCAGCAGGACAGAAATGTGGAGAACCGACTTGCTGGAAAGGTGTCCAGTGGTGTCCAGTGGAGGTGCCAGGCTGACTGGCCTCTTCTGTATGACCCCCCTCCCCCCATTCTGCTGCCATTGTTTGATGCTGCAGATTGCATGGCTGTGTGCTTAATTATTCACCTGTATGTCAGCAGTGGGTGTGGCTTATGTGGCCCAATCTTTTAAATACTACGGGTGTCCCAATGCTTTGTCCATACAGTGTACACTGCTGCACCGAAGCTAAGGTGTATACACACTCCAAGAATCACACCCACCGCTCTGCAACATTCCCGATGCCAGCAAGAAGGTCCTTCATTTTTTGGCCGACCTGAGAGGGGGACAGCCTTGAGGGTCCCCCCCCCCCTGACCCCCCCAATGGGGTTATCTGCAAGAGCCTCCCTCTGTCAGATGTGGCCATGAGCTGCACGGCACCTGGCACAGACAGAAAAGCGAAATCAGCACACGGCACAACCACAGGACCACACCGGCAGGCAGGAGCGAGGCGGGCACTGCAGGGCCCGTCCCAGTGCAGCTCCATACCGCGAACAGCAGGTTCAAAGACAACGCACCTCCATTTCACAGCTCACCTGCATGTGTGCTACAACTGCACCACTCAACCGTGCAGTGAAAATATCTACATTTCCCTGTAATTCAAGCAGCTCCCAAGATAAAAGGGTAAGTATTTTCACGCACAATAACAGGCACACTACTGCACAGTGCAGCCTTCAAGGGGACAATTTCAGTCGGCTCTAAAAGCCAATTAAAAATAATTATTATTGCGCATTTATTGATTTAGCTCGGCTTTCGCTGAAACTGAGACATCGTCATCCCCGTCTCCCCTCGTCTAAAGTCACGTCAGAAGATGCCAAACCAACAACCCAAGATTCTCAGCGACATGCATAATAGCTTCTGGTTCTGGTACCTGTGGAGGCCGTCGTAGGCTTGGCCAGTGCTGTGACACTGCAGACGTTCAGGCTGACTGGGTTCTGAGAGGAGGAAGCGGGTTCCAAGCCCGTGGTTGGCTTCTGCTCTGTGTTGCCCAGCGACAGGACCAGGAGGTCTGAGCGAGTGCTGTAGTACAGCCGTGTGCCGCTAAGGCAAGCCGTCACCACGGGGCCAGCTACACCCCACTCCCTGAATGCCAGCACTTTGCACCCCTCCTTCTGCTCAGCCAATACCAGCAGCACCTTACCAAAGCCGCCAACCACCACCAAGCCCCCAGAGCTGCCGTCACCAGCCATGGAGATGCCGAGAAAGACGATGGGCTCCTCCAAGCTGTGGAGCACCTTCACCGCAGGACCCACATCCCCAGGCTGCTGTAGGGCGGGCAGACTGCAAAGCCTCCCGTCCGGCAGGCCGCAGACGAACATGGGCAAAGGGATCAGCGATGAGTCAACACCAAAGAGCAGGCTGAAGAGAGCCGGGTCCAGCATGTGGCAATCGTTGCCCTCTGGTGGCTGGGATGTCAAACTGCACATCGCGTACACACAGAACAGTACTGGGCGCTGAGCCACGCTCTGGCTCCTTGCTCCAATGGCACCCCCGCCTGCAGGAGTAGCAAAGATGTGGCGATCTGCGACCTTTCTGTGCTGTGCTGCACTGGCTTCTGGGATCTCATATAAGCTAAACCGCCACCTGCCATCCGCCAGCCCCACTGTCACTAAGACACCGTCTGCCACCACAAAGGAGCTGACGGCAGGGTCTGCGATCACTTGGGAATTAGTGGCAACACTTCCTGAACCGCTGTCCTCAGACGAGGGGACCGAGGAAGACCTGTGGGGGAGACCACACAAAAAAAGGCCTTTTGCGGTTAAATCTGTGAGCTGTGTCATTAAAAACTTTTATCCCCAGATCTTAATATCCTAGAGTACCTGAGAAGCTGTGGAAGAGGGATGAAATGTATCCCGTCGTGCTCACAGAGAGCGTACATGCCTTGCTGGTTAGGACTCGGCACCAGGCACACGACAGGGCTGGGGAACGTGTGAACTGCCTGCAGGGTGACAGGCAGGGGGACACAAGAATATAGCGGGCAGCATCGGAAAGCAGGAATGGCAGGCGCCACCCCCTCGGGCACTGCAAAATAACTCACAGTTCCAGCAGAATAGCTCGACATGAAATCACTGGCCTCCCCTGAGCTGTAATAATCTTTTTTTTGCTGTGAAATCATCAAATCAGCAAACCTATTACATTTCTTTGCACCGCTCTCCTTAGGAGAAATATAAAAATATTTTATTGTTCAAAATACACATTTTAACAATCCTAGGGGTCCGGAGGATTGAACAGACAGACACTACCTTCCCAAAAATCTAAAAATGCCATTTTAAATGATTATAGCCATTTCCTAATATAATCATGTTCCTGAGTGTCTCCTTCAGGCACTCCAGCCTTTTTCCAAGGACCAAAGACATGCAGTTTAGTTTATAAATCACCCTTAATGCATGCTGTTGCCTCGGTTTGTATGCATTACATCCACCTCCTTGCTAAATGCTGTAAGCGTACTTAAACATTGCACTTGATTACTGGTTCTGAGAAAATGGATAGAGGTTTAAATGAATGCAAAAATGAACTGTTATTTTGCCAGGCTCCGGAACCTGAACAAGATAAGCTACATTTATAAGCGGTTACGGAGAATGGATGGATGGATGTTATTTTGCCGCCAATTAAATTTTAGAGTTGAATTTCATTTTATTATCCCATAAACAGCGGTTTCTGAAGTATCGCGTTTGATGAGGTTTAACGGACAGGAAGTTCAAACAGGTACAAATGTAGCTCATCTGGCAAAATAAAATCACGCAACGTCACACAAACTCTGTGATAATGTAGTTTATAGACCTTCACGGTAGATCAAAATGCACACGATTGGCAGCAGTGTTGGGAACGTAACGCTACGTATCTGCAAGCATTAAATGGCAGGGCTGCCAGCTCTCACGCATCTGGCCCGAGTCACGCTTACGCAAGAAATCTTAAGGTAAATCCATATCATTCCATTATAAACCGAAAATGAGCTACATCAGAAGCTTATGGGGTAGTCTGCAAACCCTACAGACTATTTATAAGGTAATAAGACTGTTAGATACATATTTGTGTGTGCAGGCTTGTCTCAAATTGAGAATCTCACTCCAGCCAGCTCACCAAGGTTGGCAACCCTAAAGAAGTGAGCTGAAAGTGAACCTGCTCTATAATAATAATCACACCGCTGAAAGAGGTTACGTGGAGATTAAAAGTCTCTGCCGAAGTACTTGCCTTCACCGTCTGGCCCTCAGTGCTGTGCAGGAGCACCAGATTGCTGCCGTTGCTAAGCAACAAGTCGGTCCCGGCCCAGACCAGCGTCGCCGACCCAATTGGACGATCCAAAGCGGCCAGAGACCTGACCGAACACCTTGATCCCTCCATCAGGATACCGGCTCCTACAGAGCGCGTCAGCCTGTTATTAACCTCACCATGAAGAAGCCGTTCGTATTTATTTACAAGGCCGACAGCAGCTTACTAGTAGGTAAGTTTTAAAAAAGATGATATGTATTACAGGTCCAGTACAACCTGATAATTTGATGGTAAAATATACTTTAAAATGAAATTTCACTGATAAATAAATCCGAAATATTCCTCTTCTGAGCAAGAAACTTCCTCCAATGTCCCGCGCGCTGCGTCGTAACCAATCGCAGCCCCTCAAAAAAAAACTACGATTCCCATGATGCCACAGTGACGCTCGACGTCCCGCCAATGGGAGCGCTCGCAGAAAATTTAAACCTGGCCACTGACGAAGTGAGTTGGATCTGAACTAGTTGAAGCAAGTACGAGAAAAGGGGGAGACTTTAAACGTTGTTTCGAGACTGATACGTTATACCACATAAGTGGCATTTAGTACAATGGATCTATTCACTTACGAGGAAACTAAGATGTACTTTTATGAGAACAGGCTGAAGACGTATTCGGGATGGCCGTTCGAGGATGGCTGCGCTTGTACTTCGGAAAACGTGAGTGCCGGGCAGCGGGGCTGCGGCTGTTTACCCGGGGCTAAATCAGACCGGGGCTGAAGCTCCTGCTTCCTTTGTAAGGTAACAAATGTCGGATTTGACGCCTGTGTTGACCCCCCACTCAGATGGCCAAGGCCGGGTTCATCCACACGCCGTCGGAGAACAGCCCCGACACGGCGCAGTGCTTCTTCTGCCTGAAAGAGCTGGAGGGCTGGGAGCCGGAGGACGATCCTGTGTAAGGCGACTGTCGTTAGGCGAGATTCACGATGAAATGTGGAAGTCTGATTTACTTGTGGAGGAAATTTGGGGGGTGGGGGGCAGGAGCTGCTCATCCTGTAGTTGATGTGAGTTAATCATCTCTGTTTATATTTATATAAATGTAAATATCTGTTTATAATATCTCTGAGAACAGCCATTAGGGTACTCTGTGAAAAAACATAGTGATGTTGGAAATATTCTGCAGTGGTGTATTGGTCTCTGGACATCTACGTGTGTGTGTTAAAGCTGCCTGTTCCTTCACATCGCAGGAAGGAGCACAAAGTCCATTCACCAGCCTGCAGTTTCATCACGCTAAAGAAGTCTGTGAACGAGCTGACAGTGGAGGAGGTCATCAAACTGCAGAAAGAGAGGGAGAAGTTTCTCGTTGTAAGTGCCTGTTTGCCTGCGATCCACTGTGCTGATGTGGAAGTCTGTCGCGTGAAAGCGTGTTGTCCTTTTGTAGGACTGCAGTTTGAATTGTCACATCAAAGATTTGTGATAATGATGACGGTCACCTCGAAGCTGCTGTAATGATACAAAATTAATAAGCTACAGCTGCTGAAATTTGTGGTTTCAATTGCGAGACTGCTTTAAAGAAACTCGCATGGCGATATAACGCTTCTGCATTTCCTGAGGAGGTCCTTGGACTCTTAGCATTCAAGGAACGATATCAGACTGTAAGTGCCTGCTAGACATCTCAATTACAGTTTCATAATGAGGCCGCATTTCTTTCTTGCTCTTAGAATGCAGAGCTCACTAAAATACGATTATAAATCTATAGACAATATTAAAATTCACATTTCACAGTATTCTCAAGTGTTTGTCAGACTGGTCCGCCGTACTGAACTGCATCATGTTTGGAGATCCCTGAAGATGGATGGAAGCAGTGAAGTGCTGTTCCCCCCCTTCCCCCACCCATAAAACCTTATTGTGTCTGCAACTTTGCCCTTTCAGAAAAAGAAGTGCAATCACATCATCGAGAGATTCGAGGATGCAGCCAAATCGCGGAGGGCCGAGTTGATTAAAATGGCCATGGACTAGGAGTGACGGACTGTGGGTTCTGTGCAGACTCCAGTCCTCAGTGATCCTCCTGAGATTTTTAATTTGCTGTTTCTGATTTTTGATTTTGCCACTCTAGAGACCGCCTCGTCCACTGGCTGAAATATCTATGCTTTAGTTTCCTGTCTCTCTGGGTGGACACATGCATTGCTGCACAGGCATTACAAGAGAAACGTTTTTCTCCATCTTCAAAGTTCCACCTCCTGCCCCTAAACTGCTGTTGCCCTCGGTTACCGTGTGACGCTGACTAGTTGCGCAACCGTGGCTGTTTTCAGTCATGGTCCCACACAAAGGGGTGTATTCTCCAGCCTGTCTGATTGTTGTTGTCATCGATTACAGCCCCCTCCTATTTTCATGTCTGCCGCTTTCATTTCCGTTGTTTGAGTATCTGTGTAGTTTTCCAAAACTCCTGTGATGATTTTACTTCAGAAAATGCTAGCAAGAGTTTGTCTGGGATCTGTCAGAGCCTTTTTTTTTTTTTAAATATAAATTTTTCTGTTTTTAAAATTCTGTAAATAAATTTGCGTACATTTGGTGACCTTTCTCTCTGGTACCTCTGCTGGTTTTCGCGAGCTGCGTCAGGGTTGCTTAGATGATGGCGACGTGGGTCTTTCAGCCGTGTGATGCCCGGGAAACTGTCTGCTTTTTTAAAAGCTGCAAAAACTCAGGAAGGTGATGTAGTTCATAGCTTCTAGGGCCTCCGAGTATGGGCTGCTCAGGCAGGCTGACAATAACCCACTGACCTTTATGCATTCATACTTTTACAATGTTGGTGTAGTATTTAGTAATGGCCCATTTTTCATCACTCACCAGAGCGAGCTACTCTTACTTTGTTTTTTTTTAGCTGTAAATAATACTGTGGGGAGCGTAAACCTTGAATTACTCAGCCTTTAATATTTGTTATTTTAAATAACTGGGGTGGTGTCTCTCCGCTCCAGGCTGTACAGACCTTAATCTCTGCCCCCTATTCTAGCACCATTACTGTAATAGCACCATCGGAGCTGGTATATATGAAGTTGCCTATGAAGATGGGTTCGTTCGGGAGATTTCCAGCATCTGTTCTTGTGGCTATGGGGTTGTGTTGACAGAGATGCATGGCAAACATTAAGTAAAATCCTGCTGGTTATTTCTAAGCAACAAAGTGCATCTTGTATTAGCCCGCAATTTGACGGCGTGCTTGCTAGATACCCATGGGTAATGCATATGTTAAGTACAAATGGATGCCGGTTAAGCTCGTTTTAGTCCACTTGTACTGGCTGCTCTATTTAAATAATTGGCTATAATGAGTGATTATTACTGTGTGCCTTAGCTGCTTGTAGCTCCCTTTTGTGTCGGTATGAAGGCGATTTCGCACATTTAAATGTTTTTTTGTCTGTTTTATACCTGGACATGTTTCTCAAATTATAATTGTACCATCCGGGACGTGGGGAGTTCTGGTCATTTATCTGCCTCCTGGTAAGGGATTTAATGATTCAGGTGTTCTCCACTCTTAATCTGGTAACCCTGTAGACCAAAATGAACTGATGCACGAGCGAATTATGCCGTTTTAAATGCGATGTTCATAAAAGCTGGTTAAACAGACCGAATGAGGCCATTCGGGAATTCGATTCACGAAACATCGTGTAGGGAGACCCGAGTCATTTATCTGCTATTAGTCAGTTGAGCTTATGATCACTAAGCATTTTCTGGTTTAGAGTGAATTCCGTCATCAGCCGCTTCCGGCTGTATAGTGAGTCTTTCTGATAAAGATACCCATAGCAATGTTTCTCGTAGCCCTAATTGTTTTATGAATGACAGTTTTTGGCAGATTCACACACATTCTGGCGCCACCTAGCCTACACATTTCATTCAGAAATCTCTAGTGAATTTTGGGAAATCGATTTATTACGGTTTTGTGAAACAGTCACTAATCGGGGAAAAAAACAGCCTGTCGATTTTTCTGAGAAAATGAGTTTAACGTAATTATTACCATTTCGGTACAATAAATGTCTCCTAATATTGTCAGAAGGTGCCTATTTGGTTAAAAGCCGATTCTTCATTCTCTTTTTTTCTCCAGATTTAATGTAATGGCATGGCGTTTATTAAAATTGTCATCAGTGGAAGAAATGGCGCTAATTTATTCGGCACAGTGAAGGTTCCTTTTTCACTTCCGAAAGCCGGGTGTTGCTGCATTAATGCGTAAAGTGCAAGATAGATAGATTTACAGAAAAAAAATCTCCACTGGCCTTCGTAATAAAATTATTTTATTTAAACCCATGTATTGCATTTATATCCTATTTTATCCACCACGCTGTGCACGTGAATATGTCAATGTGTAGAGGGGAAAGCTTAATTATATAAGCTAATTTTGCTAGTTTTCTTAAAGTCCATGATCGTCGAATGTGACCTTTTTTTAAAAACCGGAGATTTTGCTTCGCTTTTGATTAAGCTCTGATTGCACACCAGGCCCAGCCCCATCGACAGCATCTTTTCCTTTCACATATTTCCCCCTGGAATATGTAATTTATGCAACAATGACGTGGGCCACAAGATTGGGAATTCGTTGCTTTCGGCAGTCGACTGAAAGGTCCATTTCATTTCCTGTCGTTGCACCACTGTAAGCCTGACAAGTGCTTGGTTAATTTAAGTGCAAACTTAGTCATAGATAAAGTGCAAGTACATTACACTAAGATCTCAAGACAAAACTGAACTCCACATCTCCATAAAGGTCTGATTCGTCCCACTAGGGTTCTCAAGTTATTGAGAGAGAGAGAGAGACCGAAAAAGGACGGAATACGGGCAGTCCGTCTGCGTCATGCCACTTTGCGCTTAGGAAAGTTGCACGGAAGTGCCTGGGCATCCTTCCCGGTAACAACCTCGGGCGGAAGGATGAGACTGAGCTACGGAACCACGGTCGTTACGGCTGGCATCGCTGGCATCGTGAGCTTCGGTCTGCTGGCTGCAGCAATCGGGAGCGAGTACTGGTACATCATAGTGGTGAACAGACCCAACGAGACTGATTCAGAAGACCTGAATTCCCATTCTGGACTGTGGAGAATATACGAAGGTAAACTTAAGGATGCTGATGCTGATTTATAACGCGTGTTACGAGTTGGCGAGATAATAGCTATTGTGAGTCTATAATTGTCTGTATTAAGTCCATGTGACGGGAAAGAACCGACACAGGTTTGATGCAATCGTTAGTTCTGAGACTAAACTGTGTAATCACCCTATATTTGAAGGAATATTCAATTGCAAATATATAGATTGCTTAACTGTGCTGAAGGGTTTACAACAGGTATCCGGTGCGTGAAAGTCGCAGAAGATCCCTGCAGCCGAACCCCTGAAAATGACTTATTACAGCCTACTCGGTTGGAAAAGAGAATAAAATCAATTAGACTATTTGCCACATACGACAATATTATCAAACTCGCGGGGATTATACGGTATGGTACAGGAGTTCCATCATAACATAGAGTTGATGTAGAGAGTTTTTCTTAATTTAAATTATAGATAAGCTCAAATGCTGCCCATTTAATTTTGCCAATTTCTAAAAGCGTTTTAGTATTTTGTGCCTTTGCACTTCAGCTATGTTGACACCACAAACCTAGGCTACTACGGGGGGAGCGGCACCACTTTTTTAAAAGCCATCGCACGGACGTGGCGGAAGCGTGTGTCGGATTTGAAGACCCGCTCCATACATGTGTGCCCGCCGGGTGAGACGCGCCAGCTCCGGGTCTGCACGTGATTCCCGACTGAAACGCACCTTTCGCGCCGTGCCGGTCATCTGTCCAGCTGTCATTTTTCCCATCTGAGATTCTTGTCGCCGTACGTGATTGCGACCGTTTTGCCATATGTTAGCTACTAGCCTATATAAAATAGCGTTGCGTGTTTAATTATTCATACTTCTTGGTTCACTCGTACTTAAAAATGCTGTTTACTAGGTGTATATGACCTACAGGTGTACTCTAGTTATTAAGATATATTCGACGCATAAAACGAAAAGACTACATAGAACCTGTGGATTAAGACCTGGTAGTCTTACAAAATTAGTAGCACTGGTTTGTTTTATGCAAAAACAATTAAAAGAAGAACTGATCATTGTCTCCTAAACGCCAGATAAAAATGTGATGTTAACACTAAATCTCGTACAATGTGAAGGTAAGAAAATGTAATTGCGACTCTCCCGATTTCCCTCCGATCTGAAACATAAAGCACGATTTGAGCCGCTCTATAGGTATACCATTATTTTATGGGAGGGAGAACGAGATATTTAAAAGAGTATAGGCCTACCTTATGGCGAATTGATTACTATTGTAGAATGCATACTAGCATTACTTAATTTGACTTGTGTAAATTAACGTGGGGACTGTACCGGTTCATACAGATACGGCGGATTATTACAGTGTCCCGCAACCCTCACCATTATAACAAGGGAGCTTAAGTTAATTTATCAGCACTTAATTATTAACAGTACTTGCATGAACTTTTTTAATGACCTACAACGAAGCAAATGCACCATGAATTGCAAATGAACAGGCAAAAACGGACCTTGCTACTAAGACACAGACGAAAGAATAGTCACATTACTAGCCGTAGGTTGCACACACCGTAAGTATCTGCAAGTGACCAGAGACACATCAGGATGCGACAAGGATCACGTTCAACACAGGTAAGTACAATGCACGACTTTCAGGGCACGACACTAATATTTAGGACTACATAGACAAGAACTATTTGCAAGATTATTTACACGAAATGTGCTGGGAGCTGCACGTGAGCTCCCCCCTAAGGGAGCCATCTTGAAGATGGGCGTTTCTCAATACCAAGAACGCAAAGATCGCGCTTGCTGTCTTGGCAAGACCGGTCTTGCTAACGTGCCACACAAGAACGAACTGGGGATGCAGTGATTCATGGGGTTGGTCTCGGTTGGCGAGGATGCAACCGATGTATCCTTGATATTTGGGGCGGGGCAAGAACGACATCCGGGGATTTTTACCGTCATGGAAGGTAAGGAGCGTGCGCTGATTAGTGTGTTGCTGCACGCACCAAATGACAAACCACCTCAGGGATGAGAGTCTGACTGCAGCCATGTGGCAGGTGATACCTCAGCACCACACTAGTCCGAATGGACCGGTGAGTTTTTTTCTGGTGGCTGGAGTGCCAACCCTGCCACCAACCCCTAAGTTTCTCCCCTGTCAGTTGGAGGACCTGCCTGCAGGGCTGGATGTAGATTAACGTCATACCCAGGACAAAGCAATTGCAGGTTAAGGGCCTCGCTCAAGGGCCCAACGGAGCAGTCATGGAAGATGGACATAAGATGGGTACACGAGAACTCAAGTATGGTCAAGTACGCATATTTGAAAAAAAAAAAACCAAAACAGTTCCATTGCAACATAATACACATTAAGCATAGGATTTCAGCAATGCTCAATGACCGTAATTGGACACCACAGAGACACGCAAGTTGCATGTGATTTTCAAAAAATATGATGTGATTTTCTTCACTGAATACTTGCTGGGATGGTCATATGCGGAGATTTGTGGCAGAAGTCCCAGATGGACATTTTCATTTGTACTTTATGTTAGCTTTCACTACATCATTTGGAGAGAAATAGTTCATTTGTGTGTTTTAATTCCTGGCAGCATCAGTCCTGTAATGTCTGCTTGTGTTATTTCCTGTTCCTGCAGGTTACAAAATCCATGTTGGCAGTTGCAACGCTATCCTTTTACACTGTGAGAGATGCACCCTAACCCCTGCCCCTGGGGATTGTGCTTAAAGCATTCAGTTTAGGCGGTGTGAGCTGGTCCAGCTCGGGGGGGGGGGGGGGGGGGTGTGTCGTTGATGGACTGTTTAACATGCGTTGAGTTTAGATGTAAACGCTGGTGTGACATACCTCTCCAGATAAGGCGGTCATAACACTCTGGAGCAGCGGCAGCTGCCATTCAGGGTTAAACTTTTTTATTATTATTATTATCTGAAACCTTTTTTTATTATTTCAGTTCGTTTAAGAGTTTAATTAGACGTTTGAGTTTTACACCTAAAGCCAGTGACTGGAGACTGACTGACTCTCTGTATAATGATTTTAATGAGCTCATTATGGCCTGAGGCAGAAAAGGAAGCAGCATTCATCGTCTGAGTTCTCAGCACCATTTGGAGGGTTTTTATGCTAATGCCCGATTAGCCACACAGCTAATAGACTCTAGAGCAGTCTGTTAAAGGCGAGGGGGGGCAGCCTACCCCCCAGATGTATTTAGTATGAGGTCCCTGATTCTGTGTTACTGGCTGGGGAAAGTACTGTAGACCTGATTTTCACTCTAATGTATTTGCGATGATTTCTATGCGCTCGGCGAGGTCTGTGTGGATGCCTGGAGGCTTCCACCCCAAGCCGGGTGAATTCGTTCAGACAGCCGGGCGTAGTGTTTAAGTTACATTACAGCCAGTTAAAACTTACATTCTGCCTCTGTTGGGACAGTATGGCAGAGGCGTGCGACAAACACCGCCCACCATCTCTGATAGTCGCGTTAATCTGTTTTAATGGGGTATGACTTTATACATAAATCTCCAGCAGCTTCCTCCCCACCCGTATTAGGTCCGTTAACGTGCCCGCGATTACTACTCACCCACATACCTAAATCGCATTTCAGCGTATTGCATTTTTAAATTTAACGGCATCGCAGACATTTGCTTCTGCATCCAATTAATCTCCTAATAGTTTGCTTTCCAATGCGATCACCCGGCGTGCCTCATACAGATGTAACAACATCATAGCAAAGCGACTGAGAAAAACTAATTAACACTGGAAATTAGAGGCAATTAACAAATTAAGGTCTGGGAGATTAATGCGAGAGGTAGCCGAGTAGAAGAAACAAAGTCCTTTTAAATCACTTGTAATCAAACTGAAACACAGTCCTGGTGCATTTCCTGTAGCTATCCATGCCGTGCTTGGATGATGAGACGTGGTGCCTCGTGACGCACTGCATCGCGGACCTCAGCGTACTTCTCTCTGATTGCAGGCAAGGATGACATCTCCTACAACATCTATTCATTCTCTGCAGACACTTCCAAATACTCGGAAACCGAGAAGCATCTGCTCGGTGAGTGCAAGTGCGCGCCCTGGCCGCGAGGCGGAGAACTGCACGTAGCGGCCAGGGTATCTCTTCTGGGGCACGGTTGGATGGGGGTAGACGCCATGTCAGGACTGCAGACATCGTGTAGGGCTACATCCTCCTGCCCAGTGATGTAGGGATCCAATTATTCAGTACAAAACATGTAAACAAGGAGGTATCGCACTGGGAAGGGGACATATCACCTGCCACACATCTGCCGCCACCATGCATCAGTGAAGACTAGCTTTGCGCCGTCATATGGGCCCAAACGCGCGTGAAAAACCCGAAGCGGATGAACTGCCTCCCATGTACAATCATTCTAGCTTGGCTCTAATGAAAAAGCGGCATTTTGAAAGTAACTGGCAGGAACAGAAACATGCGTCTCCTGGCTCTCCTAACAGACTGATGAGCCATAAGAGGTCAATCATCGGGTTTCCATGACAACAACATGTGTAGAGAACACATCCGCCTAAGTTTTCTGTCGTTTGATTGGTCGAAAGAAAAGAAAAACACAGTGCATGGTATATGCAGTCGGTATATTTGTATTATTTGGTGTGTAGTGACAGTTTTGACTCGTGTATTGTCTTTATTAACAGACAGACACTTAATGCTTGTGGCTTGGGTGTGTGTTTTAGTGCTTGTATGTTTGCATTTATGTGCAGTGTTTAGCTGTGTGTGTATGTTTAACTGTAGTTTTACAGGCATGTGCCTGAATCTGCATCTGCATGCCTGTGTGTGTTAAAGGGGCAGTTTACCCTAAAACTGATAAACGCTACCCCAGGTAGCAAGACGAGACTGATCCGGATCTGGGCCAAATGTTGGTCAGAAATCACCACACACCCGTAAACCGGATCTAGCCTGGTGTCTTTCTGCACAACGGTCCAGTACTGGTCCGAATCCGCTTTCTGGATTTGAAACAGATGAGGACCGTATATGGCCAGAGTTACATTGAATGTTACCCAATCTGGCCTGTATCTGCACCAGAGTCAAAAGTTAAATTCAGATGTGACCTAAGCAGGGGTAGTGAGTGACTCAGTGGGCTAAACCTCTCTGTCTGTGATTAGAAGGTTGCTGGTTCGAGCCTCAGCAGAGGGGGCTGCCCATTGGCTGACCCTGCACTGTGCCCCCCAAGCTATGGGGAGTAAGATGGGGGTCTATGCACAAATAAAACATGTTTGTTTGTTAAATGTGCCTCAGACTCGTTTTCTTCCAGACTGACAGCAGAATAATTCTGCTCCAGGATCCTGCCTTAACACACGCGGCTGGTGAGTGGCTCAGTGGTCTAAGTCTGTGTTGATTAGCCAGAGGTTACTGGTGTGAGCCTCCGCAGAGGGCACTGTCTGTCAGCTGCACCGTGACCCCTAAGCTATGTAAGATGCAGCCTAGTGAAGGGAAGTGTCCCAATGTACCTGTGCTTATGCACAAGTGAGGCATGTTTGTTGCTTAAATGTCCTGGAGCAGATACCTTAATAAATGCTTTTATTTGTACATATACAGCTACACGTCTCTTTAGAGTACAGGGTCAGTCAGCACCCCCAGAGCTGGGGGTTAAAGGCCTTGCTCAAGGGCCCACAGACGTGTAACCATTCCAGTGGGGCCGGGGCTCGGGAACCTCCGGGTCACAAGCACAGAGAGTCTCAGCCACATTTAATAAACAATCATGCATCATCAGTACAAGAAAACGTACCTCAGAATGCTTCATGTCACTGACCACATCTTACTCTTTATTACTTGGAGGTCACAGTGCAGGGCCAGATAACACACAGTGGACTCTGCTGAGGCGAGGGCTCGAACCCACAATCTTCACCCACAGAGACTTAGCCGACTAAGCCACTCACAGCATGCATTGGGGCTGTATCTGAATTTAACTTTAGTCTCTGGTGCAGTTACTGGCCAGATCCAGTTTACGGGTCTGTGGCAATTTCTGAACATTTGGATCCGGTTCAGACTCATCTTGGTATGTGGGGCGATCGCCCCCCAGGTTCTTAGCGCATCAACTGCTCATCTGGTAAGTGACTGATCATACGTATACAGTCAGGCGAATGCGTGCCGGATCTTCAGAGTGCATACAGAACAACTGTAATCATTCAGAACTCTGGACAGATTCTGGTATAGACTCTCCTGCCTGAATGTCACTGGCACCCAGATTTAAGGAGACGCAGGCGGTTCTGGCCCAGAAACTGTTGCTATGTGGGTATGTTCTAGGGGGGCTTTAGTGCTGTCTATCCATCTCGGTGGTTCTGCTGGCAGTTGCCTAATGTTGTAGATATCGGCCGTGGGAATGTCAGGCTTCTCTCGAATGTAATGGGAGTGAACGGCATTCTTTCTGCGGAGATTAAAGTGTCAAAAAATACATCAGAATAATTAAGATACGAGCATGAGCACCCTGGGGCTATCTTATGTGCAGTGGTATGATTGGTGTGTGGAGTTCGGTGTGTGTTCAGTTTTGGCACTTTTCCTTTGGTATTTCTGTGCTTTGTGTGTATAGGTTTGTGTGAATGTGCCCATGTCTTTGCAGAGTTTATTTGTAACTTTGGCAAAACGTACGTGTGTTCATGCCCTCACATCCCTCGTCTGACTCTGTGCTCTCTGGCGCCCCCCACAGGTCTGCACAGGGTGATCGTCATTCTGCTGCCCCTCAGCCTGGTGCTGCTGGTCTTCGGAGGGATCTTGGGCCTCGTCAGCTCGCTGGCCCGGAGCCGCACCCTGCTCCTAGGGACTGCCGCTTACCTTCTGCTTTGCAGTAAGTGCCCGCCCCTGGCCAGGGCGAAACCGTGAGACTGCAGGGCCGTTTTTCCACTTGCCAGCCACCTGCAGGTCTTCATCAGCCCCTGTTTTAATCTCTGCATCTGTGCCTATCACAGCGGTGCACAGCACTACAGAATGTGTTCTGAGCGCTACTGGAAATAGCCGGACACCCCCCTGTTTTTCTGGACACGGGCAGCTTCAGGCTCCTGTGACAAAAGCGGCTATTTTGGACTACCGTTCCCGCAGGGAAAAGGGTTTGCGGATAATTCGTGTGTCAACAGGGTGCTGGCTGCTCGTCCTGGGTATTGGCCAAATAGGGGCGAGTATCCTGCTTGGGGGGGGTCGTGGTTAAAGGGAGCCTGTGCTGGGCTGTTAAAGTCGACCCGGTCACAGTGAATGAAGCCTCTCATTTTTGGTGGTGGAGAGGGTCACAAGTGTTGTTGCCATGTGGAGCAAATTGGTCTACAGGCACCAGCCGGCGGTCTACAGGCACCAGCCGGCGGTCTACAGGCACCAGCCGGCGGTCTACAGGCACCAGCCGGCGGTCTACAGGCACCAGCCAGTGGCCTCCCTTTCTCGGTTCTTTACGGCTCAGTGGGATGGTTCCAGCCCCATAGCACAATAATGCTCTGTGGGCGCCACACATCTGAAGATGCCATTGAAACTGAAAACACAGGGATTTTTCCTTGAATATCCATCAAAGGGCTGTTGATCCAACTGTCCCCGAAAACACAAGGAGTCATAAACTAAGGCCGTCATAAGCTGCGACAGCCACAGGGCAAAATTCTGCCCCCAGCGGCGTCGTGCGGAGGCTTCATGCATGGATTCAGCTCCACGGCTCCGGAGCAGCAGCCACGTGTCCTGCCTGGGTCCAGCATCGCCGGCCAGCTCTGGGTGCCGTACTCCATCCCCTGCAAGCGCAGGCCGTGCACCCGGCAGAAATGGATACAGATTAAAGCTTGACCATTTTACCTTCAGATACAAAAACTGAAAGAAAGATGCACGGGTCTATGAGGAGTTAGTTGCTGGCAGGCCCTTTGAAGATGCTTGGTGGGCTTTGCTACGTGCTGTTAGCTTCCAAATGAAGCCCTTTATTTACTGCTGCCCCATGCCATATCCCATGAGCCTCTTCTGCTGTCAACAACCTGGCAATATCTATCTTACTTGAAAGATGTCCGAAAGGGGTTTTGGGCTGGGAGGAGTTCATAAATGTCTTCTCTGTAATAAAGAAAGGAATTTCAGTTGGGCATGCAAGTTATTGTGCTTTCTTTAGACAAATAGGAGACCACAACAGGCCAAACCACCACTAATGGGAGACCACTGTGGACCAGACCACTACAAATGGGAGACCACAGTGGACCAAACCACTACAAATGGGAGACCACAGCAGGCCAGACCACCATAAACTGGAGACCATAGTGGACCAGACCACCACGAATGGGAGACCATAACGGACCAGACCACTACACACGGGAGACCACAGTGGGCCAAAACACCACAGACAGGAGACAACAGTAGGCCAGACCACCACAAACACGACACCAAGGTGGGCCAGACCACCAGAAACAGAAGACCACCGCTCAGGATCAAAGCCATTCCGGTGGCCTATCAGAAGAAGCCTAGGGTGTGATGAATATAACATGGTTCGCACACACAGACACGATTGTGTTAAATTTATTTATAGACATCTGGAACGACCATCATAGCTAAAGGGACATTCAACAAGGCTGGAAATAATTTCTCATAAATTAATCATTTTTTCATCACCGGGCCATTTTGTACAGACCCAGGAGAAAATTGCCTCTGGCCTCCTTTGAGGAGTGACCTGTCCGTTCTTTGTTTTCTCTTTTATTTATTCCTTCATGGACAGAGACTATGTGAGGCAGTAAATATCACGGCAATAACTTAAATGTAATGGTTTCATCTGCAGGACCTTGGCCAAGCTAACAGGGGAAGGAAAGTAACCATAAAGCACAGCCCCCCCCCCCCCACCGCCACACCTCCGCTGCGTGGCTCAGAACCACTAAGCACTTTGTCATCCACTCAAACACATTGTGTGTTTGATTATACAAGCTTTCTTCCTATTAAATTCCATTGCAATTGGGTAATTTAGTAATTAGAATTCCATTATTTATAATTAAAAAGTCTTAATGGGTGAGCCGAATATACTTTCATACCAGAAATACTCTTGAATAGCACTTGAATGATTGCTTGAGTTCAGTTGGCAGTGCCCACCAGCGAATCATCTTTTCCTCTGCTGATCATGTGATCGGGAGGCTCTGTAGATACTCAGGCCCTGTATTCTGTCCCCGGCGGAACGGCATTCGAACAAAACATCAAAGCCCCTCATTCTGAGAGACGCCGCCGACCTCAGGCATCACATCAGGGGGTTTCAAACGTCAATGTCAATCTCAGTGGCAAGCGTGGGAATTCGGGAATATGTCTGCTGATGGAGGTTCTCGACATGGACACTGCCTTGTAAGGTAGTGTTTACATGCTTTGCCTTTCTCAGATTCCTGGCCCTACAGATTCCTACTGTTACAACGAGGAAACAGGAGCAGGTAAGTAGCAGATTAGATGTTAGCTTCAAGCGGCCATATGAGGGACTGAGCACCAGTGCTCACTTTAACATGCCCACCTGTGCTGGGGGACAGGAATCAGGCCGGCTGTGCCGGGGGGGGGCCAGGTTGGTTGTGTCGAGGGGGGGGTCGGGGAGTAAGGCTGGCTGAGAACCTACTCCTTAGCCCCGCTGAGCAGAGATGTGTCAGGAAACGACTCCGGTAACCCAGGCAACACATGACAGAAAAAGAAGCATCCAGAAAATATAACATCTGGAGGGCAGGTGATCAGATGGACCCGACGCCCGTCTGAGGTCCCGTGGCCGCGGCTCCCAGTCAGGGGACTCAAAGGTTACGCAAAAGTAGGTCTCCGAGAATCTTGGCATTCAGCTCACGCATCCGCAAGGTGGGAGGGGGCGTGGGGGCCTGCTGAGAAGGTCAAGGGGAAGCTTAGCTCAGAAAAAGCCCCCCCCTGTGCGGCCACTACACGCTGGATCCCCCCCCCCCCATCAGGATGGAGCTCAGCTCATGGACATCATGAAGGACTACAGAAACAAGTCAAGCTGTTAGATTCTCTGCACCATTTCACGTGTCGGCGGTCAATTACACTG